TAAATGTATACAAAAATAAAAAATGTTACAATAATGCCACAGAAGTTAGTATATCACTATTAATTCTGGTATAAAACTTCAAATAAACAAATACAAAAAATAAATATAACCAAAGGGGCATGTTAGCTCATACACAGTAGAAAGATATGTAATTTGAGACATCAATAGCATAAACTATGAGGAAGATAAACTTGTAGATATGTTTGTATTCAACTATAGTTAACTCATTATCAGTTTAAAATAAATTATTACATTTATAAGATAGCTCATGTAAACCCCATGATAATCACAAAGAATAAATCTATAGAAGATACACCCAAAAAATGAGAAATGAATCAAAACATGTCATTATGAAGAATTAATGAAACAGAAAGGAAAGCAATGAAAGAAATGGAAAAATAATACACCCCCAAAAATGTTAATAACTACCTTAATTGCAAATGAATAAAACTCCCCAGTGATGTCACGTCTGAGCTCTTGGCCCAGAAGTTATGTCCATAGTTGGGATGCTCACATTCCATATCAGAGTGTGTGCATTAGCGTCCTGGATGTGCACTTTACTCCAGCTTACTGCTGATGCAGCAGTTGATGGTTGGAGTGGTTGGCTCAGTGTCATCCATATGGAAAACCAGTATTGAGTTCCTGGCTCCTGGCATTGGCCTGTATCAGCCTTGGCTGTTGGGAGAAATTAGTAACTTAACTTTTCACCGCTAAGATACAGAAAGATAAGCACAAACTAACTTAGAGTTAGTAGAAGGAGGGAAATAACTAAGATTAGAACCTAAATAAGTGAAATAAAATAGAAAAGCAGTTGAAAATAACAATGAAGCCATGAGTTGGTTTTTTAGAGAAGATCAGCAAAATAGACAAACAAAGTAATCAAGTGAAAAAGAATGAGACCAAAATAAATAAAATAAAAAAATGAAAGTGGAAACACCACAACTGATGCCACAGGATTGACAAGCATTGACTATTGTGAACAACTGGATACCAGCAAACTAGAAAATCTACAAGAAATGTATAAATTCCTAGAAAAATGCAACTTATCAATGGTAAATCATCATGAAGAAATAGAAAAACTGAAAAGCTTTATACTTGTAAAGGAGATTAAATCAGCAATCAAAAAGCTCCCATAAAAGAAAAACCCAGGTATAGATAGCTATTCTATGAAATATTTAAAGAAGAACTAATGCCAACCCATCTCAACTTTGCCAAAATATTGAAATGGAGATATTTCTGAATTCATTTTATGAAACCACTACTACCTTTATGTAAAAATAAGCCTAATAACCTACAAGAAAAGAAAACTACAGGCCAATATTCCTTATAAACATAGATGGAAAAATCTTAGCCAAATACTTGCAACCAAATTCAACAAGACATATATAAGAATCATACACCATGATCAAGTGGTAGTTTGTCTTGGAATGCAAGGCAGTTCAGCACACAAAAATCAATCAATGTGAGATACAATATTACAAGGAATAAGAATTTTTAAAACACCGTAATCAGAGCAATTGATGAAGAAGAAGCATTTGACAAAATCCAATACATATTCATGGTAGAAACACTCAACATATTAGGAATAGAAGGAAATTAATCAACAACGTAAAGACTAGGAATGAAAAAGCTGCAGCTAAACTCATACATAAAGATGAAACAATGAAGGCCTCTTCTTTAAGACAAAGAACAAGACAAAAGACTACTCTTTCCACTTCCATTCAATAAGGTGGTGGAAGTGCTAGCCAGAGGACTCAGGTAAATAAAAGGAAGACAGAAAAATATTCCAAATAAGATAAGCAAAAGTGAAATAATCTCTGTTCACAAATAACATGATCTCATTCATATAGAAGATCCCACAAACTTGGTCCACTAACAGGTTGTTAGAGTTAGCACATACATTTAATAAAGTTGCAGGATATAAAAATCAATATATAAAACAATTATACTTCTGTACATTAATGATGAACTATCAAAAAAAAGGAAATTTTAAAACTCTTCAAGAATAGCATCAAAAGGATAAAATACTTAAGAATAAAGTTAACCGGTTGGTGCCGGGGCTCACTTGGCTAATCCTCCGCCTGTGGTGCCGGCACCCCTGGTTCTAGTCCCGGTTGGGGCGCCAGGTACTAGTCCCGGTTGCTCCACTTCCAGTCCAGCTCTCTGCTGTGGCCCGGGAGGGTAGTGGAGGATGGCCCAAGTGCTTGGGTCCCTGCACCCGCATGGGAGACCAAGAGGAAGCACCCAGCTCCTGGCTTCAGATCGGTGCAGCACCGGCCGTAGCGGCCATTTGGGGAGTGAACCAACGGAAGGAAGACCTTTCTCTCTGTCTCTCTCACTCACTGTCTATAACTCTGTCTCTCTCTCACTAACTCTTCCTGTAAAAAAAAAAAAAAAAGAATAAAGTTAACCAAGGAGAAAAAAAATGTATATTGAAAACTATAAAACATTGTTAGAAGGTATTTAGGAAGATAAATTAAAAGATCTTTTGGTTCATGAATCAGAAGACAATATTGTAAAAGGCTAAAGATTTATATGATCTGAAGAGAAACCAGAGTATTCAGAGGACAATATTATTAAAATATCCATCAGTGATCTGAAAGATTCAAATGTAATCCCTTTCAGAATCCTAATGGAATTCTTTATAGAAACAGAAGAAAATCCTACAATTTATATGGAACCATTAAGGATCCTAAATAATAAAACAAGAATAAATAAATAATATAATAATAAATAATAAAACAATAAAAACAATCTTGAGAAAAGAACAAAACTGGAGGTTCCACATGTCCTGATTTCAAAACATATTACCAGGACACATGAAGACAGTTTGGTATTGGCATAAAGACAGACACATAGGGCAGAACAGTAGAATAGAAAGTCCTGAGGTAGACACACATATACAAAATGAACTGATCTTTTACAAAGGTTCCAAGAATATCAGTAGGAAAAATATAATCTCTTCTACAATTGGTATTTTAAAAAATGGGATATCCAAATGCCACATATTGGAGATTTTTTATGGTTTATTTTAAACTGTACATAAAAAATCAAATTTAAAATGCTTTGTAGACATAAACATGAGAGCTAAAAGTGTAAAGCCGCAAAAGAAATCATAGGGGGAAAGTTTTATGATATTTGTCTTGACAAATATTGCTTGGATATGACTGTAAAACATAGAAAACCAAAGCAAAAATAGACAAGTTGGTCTACATTCAACTTAAAATCTTTTGCATATCTAAAGAAACAACCAACAGAGTGAAAAGGTAGTTTACAGGATAGGAGTGTATATTCTTAAGCTACATATCTGACAAGTGCTTAATATCTAAAATATTTAAGGCTATTATGCAGTTCAATGGCAAAAAAAAACAAAAACAATCCATATAACTTAATTTTAAATTGAATAAAATCTGAATGAGCATATCCTCAAATAAGATATTCTTACAGATTACATGTATTATTATAGCAAAATACCCCAAATTGGGTAATTAATAAAGAATGTAAATTTTCTGTTTTAAAGTCTGGAGTCTGGGAATTCTAAGATCAAGCTACCTATTAGTCTGGTGTCTTGTGAGGGCCAAGTCTCTGCTTCTAAGAAGTGCCTTGAACATTACATGCCATGCCTCAAATCTCAGTACATACAAAAAGAACCAAAGGGGCCACTGTATGCTTGAGCATTTTTTAAAAAATTATTGATTTATTTGAAAGGTAGAGTTATAGGCAGAGAGGGCAAGACAGAGAAAGTTCTTCTATCCACTGGTTCATTCCTCAGATGACTGCCACAGCCAGAGCTGGGCCAGTCAGAAGCCAGGAGCCAGGAACTTCTTCTGGGTCATCCACATGGGTGCAGGGGTCCATGCACTTGGGCTATCTTTACCAGGCCATAAGCAGAGAGCTAGATCGGAAGAGGGGCAGCCAGGACATGAACAAGTGCCCAAATGGGATGCCAGCACCAAAGGCGGAAAGTAGCCTACTACAACACAGCACCAGCCCCCTTTGAGCACTTTTCAAGAATACAAACACATTCATTAGAACAGAGCTCTCATGACCTAATTACTTACCAAAAGACCCCAATCTTAATACTATTGCACTGGGCGATAAGTTTCAACATGAGTTTTAGAGGGTACGCACTATTCCTAGCAACATACACATGGCCAACGGGTATATAAAAAGATGCTATGCATCACTAATCACAGCAAACTACACATAAATATCACAATGAGATATTGTCTCATCTGTTAGGATGACTATTATCAAACAGATCACAAGAGTCATTGAGGATCTAGAAAGCCTGAACCATTTGTGAACTGTTGGTGAAAATATAAAATGCTGCAGCAACTATGGAAATATGTAGCCACTATCATATCACCCAACAATCCTAATTCTGGGGATCTTGAATAGATGTTTTTTACTACTACCTTCATTGCAATATTATTTACAATAGCCAAGATGCAGAAACAGCTTACATGTACATCAAGAGACAAGTGGACAAAGAAAATGTTGTGAATGCATGTATTAGAATATCATTTAGCCTTTTAAAAGAAGAAAATACTGACAAATGTGACAATATGGATGAAATGTGAGTACATTATTCTATGTTAAATAAGCCAGTCACAAGACAAATACCTTGGCAGTAGTGGTGATGACTCAAGTAACTAGATTCCTGCTACCCATAGAGGAGACATGAATTAAGATCCTGGCTCCTGGCTTCAGCCTGACCCAATCCCAGTCATTGCAGGCATTTGAGGAGTGAACCAGTGAATGGGATCTCATTTTCTCTATCTCCTTGTCTCTCAATTTTTTTAATTATTAAGTGGGTATATCTAACATTAGGTACTTTTTTCTACAACAGAAAAAAATTGTTATTGCACACATAAACTTAGATTATACCCAATCCCTTTTGGAGAGTCACAATCTATATTAGCATATTAAAGAGTCTGAAAATGCCAATGGACCAAGGATTATCTAACATTATATTTCTCCAATTTGTTTAAATCCAGATAACTTTGTGTATATTGTAGAAGGCCAAAGGAAATGCACTTAAAACCTGGACCATCTTACATGTTTTAGAATGGAAGCTGGAATGTGTCCTTCCTTGAAGTCATTGATGAATCTAATTAGTAATGTAAACATTATACTTTGTTTTGGAGGAAAGCCCAATTTATGGTAGGTAGATATATTAATTATTCTGTTTGATAATAATTATTTTAAGAGGGATTGTGTTGAACAACATGACACATGATTCTTGGCATTACACATAGGGGATTCCTTTCATTCAATAACAAAAATGCTGGAAGAGGACTCCTGCTGGTGTTGCTTTAATAATTTAGAGGCATGTGGACCTGCATCTCTGTATTCCTCTCAATCTTTCTGTCATGGTCCCAATATATTGTTACTCAGCCAGTGTGTTCGAGGCATATAGTAAGAGGGAAGGAATAGATGCATCTGCTGACACCCTTTTTAAATCTAGAAGATAGACTGTTTATGTAACTTCAGTTAGGACCAAATCATGTGACCATGTGTAGTTACAAGAGTAATAGAATAACTGTACTTGATTCTTATTTATGATACTCATGGTCTATAAAATTTCATGAGAACAGGGAACTGATGAATGCTGAACAACTGCTGCGGGGTATATGCAAGGTTAGGTTTCACTGAGTCTTTGGTTACATTTTCATCTACTGATCAATACCTAACCTTACTTTGTATGTGTTTCTGCTTAAACAGTCTACTTAATCCATATTGCAGATTGTTTAACATTGAACTCATAGCCAATGACACTATAACTCATATGTGAGACACTTCTGCTTGGCAGACACATTTTCCCCATAGGCACATCACAGTCACCTTGGGCTTAGAAACACTGAACAGCACTTCACTACTCTGTAGGCTATGTAGAAGGGGGAAATCACCAACTAAGAGCACTAAAATATGAAAATGTGAATTTAAGTAGACCGCAGAAAGGCCATTGTTTATAGTCCAAGAGCTGAAAACAATTGCCTTGCTTGAACTCTGTTGGGAACATGTATCCAGCAACTCAAAATTTTGGCTACTCCGCAAGTGTTCACAGATGGAAAATGCTGAGAGTATTAATTTTGCAATTACAAATACACTTCATCAAGTAGGCACATTCACAAATATGGAATACTGAATAATGATAATTGACTCTATTTTGTTAGACATATTGCTGTCCCAAGCAAAATCAGGGAGAAAAAGGAATGAGTGGCAGGTTAAGACCTAATGAGGCGAGGTAGGCAATTGGCTTGGGATACCCACATCCCATATCAGAGTTCCTGGATTCAAGTCTCAGCTCTGATTCCTATTCAGCTAACTGTTAATGAGCATAAAAGCAGCAGATGATGGCTCAAGTACTAGTATCTTTTCCACCCACATAGGAGACAAAGGTTGAGTTCCAGGCTCTTAGCTTCAACCTGGACTAGCCTCTGACTATTGCCAGGCATTTGGGGAGTGAACCAATGGATAGAAAGTTCTCTCTCTCTCCTCTCTCTCTTGTTTGGCCTTTCATATCAGTAAAATATTTAAATAAGTTTGTTTTAAACAAAAGTACTAATGAGGTTGGCTAGAGAAATCCAAAGTAATAACTCTAACTGTGGGCAAGGTACATCCCCATTTTATTGTTGTGTAATCTTAATTTCTAGGAGTACTGGAGCATGGAATATGGATCTCAATTATTACATAGAAGGCATAAAAATATTCTCATTTTAAGAAGATAAGTGAGTTGCAATAATATGACAACAAACCAACAAAACATGTAAGAAAAATTCTACTTATGAAAGGATATGACCAATGAAAACTGGAGTCCAATATATACTTATAGTTTGCTTTTTGGAATTGTGATTCTTTTATGTTACCCTTAAATCTTATTGATACAGTGATGTGGATGTCCAGAGATATGTTCCAGAATCAGAGATGAGAGATTCCTATGAGGAATTATATGTGAAACAAAATCCTGGAGATAGGGGAAGAAACTGGATTCTCATATTTATATTGGTTGAGCGGGTTGGATGTTGTTATTTGGATATAAAGTAAAAAGTTGATTTTTATTTGTCATTTGTTTTTCACATAGAAACCCAAATAATCAAAATTGGAAAAAGTCAATAGAATGAATTGCTAGATATTTTGCTCTGCCTATGGCTCCATAGCCTCATTTCCCATAGTGAAATAGCGCCTGGGAATAAGCAGTGTGGCTCTCTCCAGGAAATCTACTAGTAAAGGACTTGAAATTTCTCTCTAAGTCAAGGAAGCCTGACTTTTATGGCTGAGGATCCCCCTTTCCTCTCATGCTCTGAAGCTATGCATGCCTTCCCAGGATAAGGCAGGAAGACAGCCAAGCTTTATTGCTTCTTACTTGTTCCTTACAGAGCTGAACTAAACCCCAAGTGTCTCTTGGCCATAGCTGTCATATTCACATCATGATAGGAACTGCCAAATCCATGGCATCTGGGAACTTCATTATTTCTGTGCACAAAGCACTTCAAAATGTCTCCAATGAATTCCATCTAAATTGTTAATGTTAGCATTTACTTTCAACATTTTTTTCCTGTTGGAGTTTGGAAATCTATATATCTTGATCAATTATAATATTCTAATCATAGGACAGAAACCAATTATACATATTTTGTGTATTCATTTGACATTTACATAGCATTTCTATATCCAGTACTATATTAAGAGTTACAACCATGGGATCAATGGATGCATAGATGATTGATACATGATAGATTGATTGATAACGGAACATTTTTATGAGAATTTGCTCACATGCTTATGGAAGCTATTTGCATTCAGGGCAACTAGGAAGGCTGGTGATGTGATTCAGTCCAAGGCCAAAGGCCTAAGAAAGGGGAGGGTGCTAATGTAAATTGTCCAGAGGCCCAACAACAAGGAGCTCATATGTGTGAGAGAAGGAGATGGATGTCCCAACTCAAGGAGAGAGAAAGAACTCACTCCCTCTCCCTCTTTCTGGTATATCTGGGCTCATAACACTCTTGATCATCACTGCCTACATTGATGAGGGCAGAGCTTTATTCAGTCTACTGATTCAAATGCTCGTCTCTTATAGAAATGCCCTCAGAGATACATATAGAAATGCTGTTTCACCAACTATCTGGGCATCTTTTAGACCAGTTAAGTTGACAATTAAAATAAACATTGTAAGCATCTACTATGAGCCAGACCCTCTGCTAGGCTGGATGTTGAGTAGTGAAAAAGATAAATAAAATCTCTTCTGATATTGCTTGAATTCTAATAACAGAATCTTGGCACCAAATTTAGCATAAATATGTATGATAGTATTGTTCATGCTTACAATTTATTAAATTCTCTGGTCTGTCACCTACTCAGGAAAGGCAGGTCAGTCTGATTGGAATCCTGAGTAACAGTGACAGTACAATTTTTTCCTTAGATTTATTTATTTACTTGAAAGGCACTGCAATAGAGATAGAGATAGAGACAAACAGATTTTTTTTTTTTTTATCTGCTGGCTCATTTTCCAAATTTCCACAATAGCCAGGTATGGGTAAAGCTGAAACCTGAAAGCTAGAACTCTATTTAGGTCTCCTTCATAGGTGGTACAGACACAAGTACTTGAGCCATCATCCACTGCCTTCCCAGGCACATTAGCAGAGAGCCGGATCAAATGAACAGCCAGGACTTGAATGGCACTCCAACATGGGACACCATAGTGATAAGCTGTTACATAACCCTTGCACCACAATGCTAGCTCCTCTAACTTGTTTTTATGTTTAGTCAGATAATAGTTGTTTTATATATATATATATATATACACATATATATTATACATAATATACATGGGTACTTCATAAAGTTAGTGGGAAAATTAATTAATTTGGTGCAATTTTGAAATCCATCATTTTCCTGATGTGTATTTTGATGAAATTTTTGTAGACCTCCTTATATGTATGGATTTCAAAATTTCTCTGCATAAACTAAAGCTATATTTCAATTACATTTTCCAGGGTTTTTTTGAAGTGCCCTTGTATATAATTTATATATATACATGTATGTATAACACTAAATATATAGCATATTTAACATAATACAATCCACCACAATGGTAGGTGAACATTTCATACATTATGTTGAAGGACAAAGCATTCATAGCAGAATATAAAAAAATGAAGATGAAAATCAGTGAAAAGAAAAAAATGTTCATTCTTGTTGACACAGAACAATATAAAAAGCATTGTAAAATGTCCAAGAGGTATATTTACCTCTTTCATTGTTAAGTATGAAATGAATTATGAAAGTTTCCTTTAGGAAACCACACAGTTCAAGAGTAGCTCATCTCAAAATAAAATATAACTTCACTTTTTATTATGCATTGGTAACTAGATAAGTGTACATTAAAAATGTTTGTGATATTAATAGATCTTGCAAAAATGGCCAGGCAATTAGCCATTGCTATTCTAAATAAAAAATCTATGATCTTTAAACTCCTACAAATAACTTTTTATTTTCATAAGGTGTGCGTAGATTTATTTTCAGCTCTTCAGATCTGTCCAAACTATTGAATTTTGAGTGATTTTACCTCTACTGAAACATAATGGAAGAGTATTTTGCATGTTCCCAGATTACTTATGTTTCTTTTCTTCTGCCTTATCTGCGTTTCATTCGTTAGGTTGCTTTATTGCTGTTGTTGTGTTATTTTGACAGCTAGAGAATGTGTTCTTTTAAATGAGTGATTATATATACTTATTGGAATACATAACTCCATTTTTTTCTCCTCTGTGAGCTTTCTTCTCTATAAAGCTGTGGTCTTAATCTTCAGTCAATTTAAATAATTATTTGTAATTTTATTTTGGTGAACCATTTCTCATCTATCTTGTAGGCCTCATCATACTTATGAACTATTTCCAGCAAGAGTATTTCCAGGGAGGGTCTTTGGTTGTAACACATTGAGGCTTCCACTCCAAGATTATTTTTATTCTTTATTCATTTTCAAATAGGTTTAAAATGTGCATAATATTCTTGGTTCAGATTTTATTTTCAGTGTTCTTAAAATATGTTTTCATTATATGCTTTTATAAGAACTGAAATTTTATGTCAATATGAGTTTTGTTCCTTTGCAGGTGATATAAACTTTCTCTTCAGAAGATTCTAGAATTTTACCCTAATCTTTGATCTTCTAAAATGTTAAATAACAACAAAGTGTGGGCAAATGCATTAGAAGATTTTTCACTTGACTAAGTAAATTATACTCCATAAATCTAAGGTATTCTTGACCATAATAATCTCTTAAAATTATTCACTTCAGAAAATCTAATTCAAAGCAGAATTTTCAATTCCCACTTTCTCTTGTAGTAAAGAGTAGCACTGGGATCTGGCACTCCAATTTGGTTTTATTCTGACCATTTACAAAGTGTCCCCCATATTGCATCATTAGGATTATGGATAATAGTTCATGTCGCAACCACAGGGAGTTAACATATTGGAACTGTCCTGCCAAATGAATTTTGCCCCTATTTTGTTGATTTTATTTTGGAGTGGAGAAAGTAAGGTCTTAATTAGTGCAAATATTTGTTTCAAAGAAAAATATTTAGACAAAAAATTGTTTACTTCATTAACAGAATAAATGACATTATCCACCTAGTGATGGTCATTATAAAAACAAGTGTAGTATTGAAATGAGGAGTTAATAAAAATCATGATCATGCCAGTAATAGAAAAAAATTTTATTTCACATTGCCAGTGAAATCTTCCAGGACCCTACAGCAAACTATAAAACATGAATATCATCCCAGTAGAACCAATCTCTAGCCAAATATACTCATATGCAAACTATGCTATTTTCAACTGCAAATAACAAAATGAAAACTAAACTCTCTTACATGATAAATAAATTTTTGTCTCATAAACTCCAAGACCAGATATAATACAGACTTGAAGATGGGCTTGATCCAGTAGCTTTCTCTCTCTCACTCTCTTTCTCACTCTCATTCTTTCTCTCGCTGTTTGTGCAATTCAGTTAAATGTAATTCAGTCAAATTTACTATGTGCTCACTTTCCCTGGACCCTCATTTTTCCCGAGATGGGAAAATGGTTGTAAGGTATCAGGCATCTGATTCAACAACAAAGGATGTCCAGCAGAGCACGTATCTTTGCTATATGTCTTTGGCCTTGAATCCTAGCTCCACAGAAGTTTATATGCCCAATTTATATCCTTCACTTTGCCTCAGAATAATGTCATCTGATGATTGGCTTATGTCTGAGTTTTTGGTCTAATCACTATAGCAAGTGCTATACCATTACCCATTACTGTTGACCAATCCAATTTAACTGTGATTCTAGGATTTGGTTCAGTTGTCCCTGAAGGAAACAGATACTTTGGAGAATTCCAAATAATGGACTTCAAACATAGCTAAACCTGCGCTGGCACTGTGGTGCAGTGGGTAAAACAGTTCTCTGCTGCACTGGTATCCCATATGGGTGCTGGCTTGAGTCCTGCAGCTCCACTTACCATTCAGGTCCCGGCTGATGTGCCTAGGAAAGCAGTGGAGGATGCTCCAAGTTCATGGGCCCACACCCACATGGGAGACCCAGAAGAAGCTTCTGGCTGCTGGCCTCAGACCAGCCCAGCCCCAGCCATCGCAGCCATTTGGGCATGAACCAGCAGATGGAAGACTTCTCTCTGTTTCTGTCTCTCTGCCTCTCTCTCCATAATTCTGACTTTCAAATAAGTAAATAAATCATTTAAAAAAACTAAACCACTGATTGAAAGAGGGAACACAAGAGTACCCATCAACAATGACCACTGCATTCTTTATCACCACAGCTATTTAAAATTATACTGTAACTTCTGGAAAATTAAAAAAGAATAATAAAAAAAATTAATGGGAGAAAAAATATTGGAAAGCAGTGGTTAGAAGGAGATATTGTGATGATTAGAAGTTATTGTTATTTTTAATCCCACTTATATATTCAAAATAGTCAAAAATCTGTTAAATTTTGAAGTAAGCCTAAATATAATATATAGTATCTAAATGTCTAAAGTAATATTTTCCTAAAGTGACTTTCCTAAATGACCTAACATAAAGAACTAGATAGCATGATTAAATATTACAATTTTTACCTTATAAAATATAGGGAGAATATAAAAATGAGCTGAAGCATTCCTCATCCATTGAAAACTGTCAGGGAAAAAGTTCCCATTTTTCTATTGCTTGATTTATGAATATCTTAGATGGAAGCAAAAGCCTTAACTCTGTAAAAATTATTAATAGTAGGTTCAGTTTGAAGAATTTTACTTATATAACTTGCTTTAAGGAAATGGTTTATAGTACTCTAGGAATAGAGGAAGTATTTACATTTTTTTCTGTGAATTCTAGACATTAGTTCTGTGTTTTTCTCAACTCTGTCGACACATTAAAATCTCTTGGTACCATTCAAAATCAGTGATGTATAAATCCAAGCTGACCAATGACTATAGTCCTGTGGAATTTTTTAAAGTTTCCCAGATGATTCCAAAGTAAATCCAGTCTGACAATCTCTGACTAAGGTCTCCACTGCAAGCTCTCTGATGATGGTGAGGTAGTTCAAGAAATAAACAAAACAACAGAATTTTTTGAAAAATTGGAAATAATTGTTATAAATCACTTGGTTACCAAAAAAGATTGACGAGCAAAGCATCATGGCAAAGTATTCATAGCCAATATGCTTCAGGAGGCTTTAAATATTTATAGAGAAAAAGACTCAATGCCATAGAATCAAAATATCTTTCATTTTCATAGAAGTATAAAATTGTCCAAAAAATTAATTATCTTTTGTTCAGGCTGAACGTGTTGCCATGAAGGAGTCTGTAAAAGATCTGCCCCTGTCTTAAGCTTGCAGCAGAAATCCAGCCTCCAAGTAGATATGGAGGAAGGGGGCAGGGGTGCAGACCAGAGTGGATGATTAGGGGATGAGTAAACGTCATGTGCACATCTGGGAGTCAGAAAGCTCAGTCAAAATAAAACAATCCAAAAGCTGACTGAAAAAAGTAGGTCCAACCCTGACATTCATGACATATTTTGTCTTCGTTTATTTCAGCCTTTCACAGCAGGGGAGACAATAAATGTTGCGTCCAAGGACATCAGTGCACAGTGCAAGTACCTGGACATATTTTCTGCTTTGTACAATCACATTTGGAATATCAACTATGGATTACCTGGAAACAAGTTAAAATATGCTGCAAGCAACAATCTACAGTGTCTAGTTCAAGTTCTCCCTGATCAGTGACAACTGACTGAACACCAAAAAGGAAACCTGTTGAAGTGGAATGGACACTATGGGAAACGGTGACTTGATCAGCATAGCCCTGACTGTTAATGAACAACTTAATACATTATCCCTCTTAGTAGTTTTTTTGTCTGTTCTACTTAATATGACTGGTTTAATTCTGTAATTAATACACAGTTATTCTTAAGTGTTGAAATTTAACTGAAATGTGATCCCTGTTAAACATAAGAGTAGGAATAAGAGAGGGAAGAGATATATAATTTGGGACATGCTCAAGCTGACTTGCCCCAAATGGTAGAGTTAGAAACATACCAGGGGATTCCAGTTCAATCCCATCAAGGTGGCATGTACCAATGCCATCTCACTATTCCAAGTGATCAATTTCAGTTCACAATTGATCATAATGAAAGGACTAAGAGTCAAAGGGAGCACATAAACAAGTCTAGTACCTGCCAACACTAACCGATAGAATAAATAAAGGGGAGAGTGAGCCAACATGGGAAGTGAGATACTCAGCAGACTCATAGAATGGCAGATGTCCTAAATAGCACTCTGGCCTCAGAATCAGCCCTAAAGGCATTCGGAGCAGGCTGAAAAGCCCATGAGAGTATTTCAGGCATGGAAAGCCAAGACACTCTGGCAAAAGATCTCTGTGAGTGAGATCCCAGTGGAAAGAACAGGTCTTCAAAGAAGGAGGTACCTTTCTCTGAAGGGAGGAGAGAACCTCCACTTTGACTATGACCTTGTCTAAACAAGATAAGAATCGGAGAACTCAGAGGGTTTCCATAGCCTTGGAAACTCATGACTGGAGCATGGGGAGATTACTGATGCCATAGACAGGAGTGTCAATTGGTAAAGTCAACAACAGGAGTCACTGTGCACTTACTCCTCATGTAGGATCTCTGTCCTTAATGTGCTGTGCATTGAGATTTAATGCTATAACGAGTACTCAAACAATATATTTCACTTTGTGTTTCTATGGGGGTGCAAACTGTTGAAATCTTTACTTAATGCATACTAAACTGATCTTCTGTAAAAAAAAAAAAAAAAGAAAAAAGAAATTATCAACTCCCAACTCAACTTGACTCTCACTGGGATTAAACATGACAATAGGTCTGATCTGATTTCATCATCATTTAAAAAAAAAATCATCTATTATTTTTCACTTTATGTTTCTGTGTGGGAGCAAACTGTTGAAATCCTTACTTAATGTATACTAAGCTGATCTTCTGTATATTAAGATAATCGAAAATGAATCTTGATGTGAATGGAAGGGGAGAGGGAGTGGGAAAGGGGAGGGTTGTGGGTGGGAGGGACGTTATGGGGGGGAAGCCATTGTAATCCATAAGTCGTACTTTGGAAATTTATATTCATTAAATAAAAGTAAAAAAAAAAAAAAACCATAAAAAAAAAAGAAAACTGCTTCCGTAGATCAAAAGATTTCCCTAAAATATTTTGAAATGTAGGGGTTTGGCTTTGTGGTTAAGATGTCAGTTTGGATGTCTGTATACCACATTAGTTGCTGGGTTCAGTTCTTGTTCTGGGCTCTTAATTTTAGCTTTCTGCTAATGTGGACCATGGAAGGTAGTGGTGATTACTCAAGTTGTTGGGATAGAGTTCCTGGCTCCTGGCTTCCACCCTGGCTGTTCCAAATGTTTATCGAGTGAACCAACAGGTAAGAACTCTTTCTGTGTATCTGTCTCTCTGCCTCTCAAATAAAATTCTGGATTAAAAATATATTATCCTAAATTTGTGTACCCAACTAGGATGGAAAATGCCCTGGGCTCTCATCCAAAGTAAATGCACTTTTAATTTATAGACAGTTCTATAAGCAGAATCCATTATTTTCAATTCAAATATAAGAAACTTCAAATATAGCATGGTTCACTTTATTTGAGGGGCAATGTAAAAATATCAGAGAAAATTCTAAATATACAGTAAAAGCACCAATGATCAAATTGTCATTAAAATTTACATTAGCTTTTAAAAATCTAAATTTTTGTATATGTATACATCTTTCATAGTAGTCTTCCCTCTTTATCACTGCCTATTACATATAATATATTTTATGCCATTACAAGTTGGTCATTACAATCATTTTAATTTTTGTATAACATTCATTAAAATTAAATTATTTCAGGAGCTAGCATGGTTTAGCCTCAGGTTAAGCTACTGCTTTGGACACCAGCATTCTATATTGGAGTGTTGAGTTTTCTGCCTCCTATCCAGCTCCCTGCTAATACACCTGGGAAAGAAGTGGAGAATGGCCCAAATACTTGAGATCCTGCCATCAAAGTGAGAGACCCAGATGGAATTCCTGGTTCGTACCTGTTGCAGCCATTTGGGGAGTGCTTCATAAGATGGAAGCACATGGGTTCTTTCTCTCTCTCCCTTTCAAATAAATTTTTTTTAACTTTTAAAAATTTTATTTATTTATTTGAAAGGCCAAGAGTGAGAGACAGAGCAAGAGATAACTTTCATCCACTGGTTCACTTTCCTACTGGCTGCATCAGCCAGGGCTAGGCCAGGGTGAAGCCAGGAGCCAGGTATACCAAGTGAGTGTCAGGGGCCCAAGTACTTGGGCTATTTTCTGCTATTTTCCCGGGCACATCAGCAGAGAATTAGATCTAAAGTGGGGCAGCCAGGACTCAAATCAGTGCTCATACAGGAATAAGTATGTTTTAAAATTCTTCATCTCATTTTCTTAAAACTATAAATTAAAATAATCAGAGTGTACTGCATCAAATATCTAAGCAGATGACAGCAAGAAGAGAGAGAGATGGAACTATATCTTACAGGGATGAAGTTGATACGTTAACTCTAATATACCATGCATTGCTCCCCGGTAGCTAATGGAAGATTAGTTGTAATACCGCATGAATAGAGCCATTCAAAAATCTTTAATTCTATACCTCTGGATCCATTGTTTAATAAACCAGACAAAATGCAATATACAAAACACTTGAGACACATTTGTAGAATATTTAAGACTAAGGTGACCTTAACCTAGAGGGGGATATTTCAGATATTAAAAAATAAGTCATTAACCACGCTAAGTGATGTTCAATTGGGACAGATCATTATTTAATACACTTTGCTGCCTCAGTTCCCAGCTCCAGTTGAAGCTAAAGCAACAATTGGCCAGCTGCTACATTAAACAGAGCTATGTACTGATCTAGTGAAAAATATCCATGCTGATATGGAAGGGTGGAAATAGCCCAATCCACGTGGCTGCATGGGGTCCATCCAGTTGTGGAAACTGCTACATTCTGCAATGTAGCTACACTTTGAAACCCTGCTGGAGAAACCTTTTCTTTATGAAAGAAAAACCAAAACAGAACTACAAAAATCAACCAAGGGGCATATTACTCTATTATTAAAAGATTTATACCTACCTTTTCAGGTATGTAGAAATATACACATTCTTATCACAACAAAAGCAATTACAGATGACCAAATCTCTTTAAACTTAAACTTGATGCTAGCTGCTGAATTCACACTAATGGTAAGAAAGAGGGAAATAGCATTTTTTTCCAGAAGCATTAACTGAGTTAGGCAATTGACACCTGTCACTCAATTTAGCAATTATAATATCCCTATGAAGTAGTATTTTCTCTACTTTACAGTTGAGGAATTTTAATCTAAGAGAATGACACATACAGGGCTAAACTTCTTATATGATTTCCTTCCTATATTCTACTAACAAGACAGGTCTTTTGCAAGCTCAAATAACCACAAAAGATCTTTCAAAACTACTAAAATACCTTTTTAATTTTGATTTAAAGTTAACATAAAGCAAAAACTCAAGTTCAAAAAAATTTCAACTTGAATGAATGTCTCTCAAACTCAGCAACTACATTCTAAGATCTAGAAGTAAAGAAAAGGAAGGTAAGAAGAATAAAGGAGAAAAGTTAAAAGAACAGCACAATAAAAAAGTTACAAGGATATGGAGGAAGAGAATTGGGTGAGAAAAGTTGAATACAGCCATAATTTGCTACTTTCTGCTACTGTACTGGAGAAACACCACCATAGCTTGGAAACCGCTGATGGAGAAATTTGTGTAAGTGGGAGTGTGTGTGTGTGTGTGTGCGCGCGTGTGTAAGTGTGCTGAAAGCCCCCAGCTAAATTAAAGTTCTAATACCAGAGTATCTAGCAAATATCCTCTAATGAGAAAGAAAGGAAGAGGGACATGGATATTAACCATATGCCTTTAATTAAGAGAAGCTTCTTGTACCTGGTGGACCACTAATGAGTCATTATCTGACCGAATACCCTGGGTCCCTTACCTAGGATACTTGTTTATACTGGCTGGCATCCCGTGGCTCTTGTCTGGCCCAGGTCTAGTCAACACCTGAGCATTATTCTGGCACTAGGAACCTCATTTGTTTTCTCCCCAGTGTTCCAGGGAAATCCCAATTCAGTACCACTGGTTCTTCAGATGTTAATGTTCTCAAAGGAACGCATTCAAAGATTTTTACTCACAGTCCTAGGCCAGGAGGACGGAATAAGTCAGGAGGACAGCCCTCCATCCCTGAGTCACACAAGTCTGGAATGAAGAGCCAGGCAGAGGGAGTGTGGCCAGCAGCAGTGTACACAAGGGATTAGGGTGTGGTTCACTTTAAGATGATGGACAAATGTCTGAATGTTTCCTTGAAAAGACAGGTGGGAAAGTTAGGAGCTCAGTGTTCTATACAGGAGAGAAGTTTCTAAATTCCTATCTGGGGGCTGGCATTGTGGCACAGTGTGTTTAGCCACTGCCTGTGACACTGGCATCTCCTATCAGAGTGTCAGTTCCAGCCCTGGCTGCTCTGCTTGCAACCTTGCTCCCTGTTATTGTGCCTGGGGAGGCAGCAGAAGATGGCACAAGTGCTTCGTAGGTCCATGCCACCTGTGTGGGAAACACAGATGGAGTCCTGGCTCCTGGCTTCAGCCAGGCCCAGTCCTGAATGTTCAGGTCATTTGAGGAGTGAACCAGTGGATGCAAGACCTCTCTCTATCTCTCTCAATCTCTCTCTCTCTCTCTCTCAAATAAATAAATAAATAAATAAATAAAATTTTTTTGAAATATAAATTCTTGGGGCTGGCACTGTGGCATACCAGGTTAAGCATCCACCTGTGGTGCCAGCATCCCATATGGGCTCCTGTTCAAGTCCAGGCTGTTTCTCTTCCAATCCAGCTCTCTGCTATGGCCTGGGAAAGCAGCAG